CATCTACTGAGGGGCATCTGGGTTGGTTCCATATCTTAGCTATGGTAAATAATGTTGCAATACACATAGTTGTGCTGGTAGCTTTAGTATGGTCTTGTTTGTAATCATTCGGGTAAATGCCCAAAAATGGGGTTGCTGGGTCATAGGGAAAGCTCTATGTAGAGTCTTTTGAGGAACCTCCATACTACTTTCCAAAGTGGCTGAACAAGTTTACACTCCCACCAACAATGCAGTAGGGATCCCTTCAGGCCACATCCCCTCCAGCATCTGTTGTTATTAGAGTTCTTGATTATAGCCATTCTAACTGGGGTGAGAAGGTAATCTCAATGTTGTTTTGATTTGCATTTCTTTTATGGCTAGAAAGGTTGAGCATTTCTTCATATGTCTATTGGCCATCCTTCTAGAAAAGGGGTTTTGTTAACATGCAGAGGAAGAGCCCCTAACTTCATGCCCCTCCCCACCACTTCTGGCTAGATCAAAGGAGAGAAGAGTAGAGGTTGGAGGATGGGATAGGAAGGTCAAGTATATATATATATCAATGGTTTCTCCTACTGGCCCTGTGCTCAGCAACCCACATGCAGCACAGAACCTAGAGGCTCTAGATGTGGGCTGGATGGGCTGAGTGACCAGAAGCACTGTGGACCACTGGGCAGCTCTAGGCAGTGCTGTCTTTATGTAGAGCAGTCTTGGCTCTTTTTTTTCTGAGTCCTGCTCCTCTGCTCTCCCCCTGGCTGCTCCCCTCCTCACAGGTGGTGTAGACTACAAATCTGAGAGAACAGAGCCACTCAGAGCCACCCCTGACCATGTTCTGGAGGAGTACTCAGGACCTTGAATACCTTGCCCAGTGATGTTAACCCCTTGTTGTATTCCTCACCATCAGATCTCAGGGCAGATGATGCCACTGTGTGTATATCTTGGGTGGCCAAGAAGTAGTAGGGGACTGAACAGAACTTAGACATGAGGGTATATTCATACCCTCATAGAACAGAGCCAAGGAGGAAGGAAGAAGAGTAGCAGTGGATCTTGCTTAAGCCCCACACCTAGAGTCTGGATGTGTGTCTTACAACGGATGAGGAACCACCCCCTCAAAGTCTGCCCACATGGCAGAGGCAGAAAGAAACTTTCCCTACCTGCTTTCCTCCAATCTCAGGATCCAGGGCCCGCCTCTTGTCCAAAATGTCATATTCCTCCCTTCGTCCTAGATTGAGCTCCTAAAACAGACAAGAAAGAGGAACTGCAGGATGATGGAGCCAGCTGGACTGGAGAGCATGATTTCCTTCTTGAAGGCTCAGAATTAAAAAAAAAAAGAGCAGGAACAGAAGCAGGGGAATGGTAGGGGAGGTAGTGGTCCATCTTGTCAGAGAATCTCCCAGAAAATGCAAGATGCTGTCACTGAGCCATAGGAAGGATCCTCAAAGCCACCAAGTGCTTCTTTTAATATCTGTGGATGTATCTAATAAGTTAATTAATATAACATGTCCCACTAACAAATAGAGAAGCCGGGGCTTCCAGAGGGGAAGCAGCTGGACCAAAGTCCAATTGCATAGATGTGAGGCTTTCCTCTTCTGCTGTGAAAACTCTGAAACATTCCTTCTCCATCCATCTCTAACATTTGCAAATTTCTGGGTGTTGGGAGGATAAGGGGAGGGGGTGTCACTAAAGGCGGGGCTATGCCATGCTTTAAAACATTAAACATGGGGAGCCCATGCAATTCCCGGAGGCGGACAATTGCCATCCCCATTTTACAGCTTAGAAAACTGAGCTTGAACTAGTCATTGGGTCACAGGGCTGATGGCTGCAAACCAGACCCTACAGCTGAGGCTGTAGAGATTCCCTAGGTCGGTCCCCAGGACAAGCCTGCCCTTCTTCCTGCATGGGTCTCTGGAGCAGCAGGACTTACATTATAGAGCTGGTTCTGGCCTGGCTGGTAGGTGGCAGCCTCTGCACTGGGGCTGAACTGCAAGAGAACAGACCACCACACATTATAGCAAACCACAGTGGCCAGGGGACCCCTGGCCCACAGATGCTGCATGTGTGCTGCTGGGGTGACAGAAATCAACTGTCTTCTCTTCTGTGCATTCACAAGCTTTACCCAGGATGGGCTGAAGACTTTCCTTCCCACCAGTGCCAGCAAGAGGTTCAGGTCTTAGGGTCTGATCTTGAGATCGAGTGTTCTCCAGGGTCCCTTTCCCTAGGGACTCACAGGACACAGGTGAGGCACAAAGTCCTGCCTCCTGTCTCTTGACCCCTGGACTGGGTGTTTTAAATGCATCCATCATGAGTCCAATCTTCTGCTCTAGCTCAGTGACACTGAGCTGAAATTCTTCACGCTTATTTAGTGTCCTGGGTTCATATCCAGTCCATGCCACCTCTGCGGAGAGGGACTGCCAGGTCTTTCACAGTCACAGGTCAGTAAGACCTGTCCACAAATAAAACTGTATACCAGGAAGAAATGGGCTAGGATGTGGAAGTGGTGATGATCTCCCACCTCCACCTACCCCAGGCCCAGCCCCTTAAAGTAATCCAGAGCCTTCAGGCTCCTGGTAAAAGCCAGCATTCTGACCAATGCTTTCATTTATACATGGGGAAACTGGGTCTTGGAGACAAAGACTGACATGGCCTTGATTAGCAGCTGGACCTCAGGACTAGGACGAAGTTTCCACTCCGTGCCCTTAATTGCCTAGTGCAGCCCGTCCCTGACACTTGGGTGTTCACACAGGGAGACAGCTGGCTCAGCCAGATACTCCACCTCTCAGCCCACCCATTTGCACTCTTGGCTGTCCCTGCCTTACCCCCGATGCTACAACTCTCCAAGGTCAAGACACTCCTTCACTTCAGAGTGGAAGAGCCTACCTTCTCCCTCTGGAACCCAGGGGCACCCACCTTTGCTCTCAGGAACAGGGCAGTGATGATGACACCATAGATGAAGAGGATTCCATCTAGCAGGTAGCAGAGTTTGGGATCCAGCAAGCCAAAGCTCTGTGCCTCTGTGACAATAGATAAAGCTGGTCAGCCAGGCCCAGGTGACAGGAATCTGTTCCTACCACCTCAGGGCAACCCTATGACTGACAAGGACATTAGATCCAATCATCATGCCTTAAAATGACCACAGCCTGCTTCACCCTACCTTATCCCTGCCACCTTCTGAAGACACCTAGCTTGCCCCAATGGCAATTTGATACTAAGTGGGTGCATAGAGCGTGGGAAGAACTGGGGGGGGGGAGGGGTCACTAAGAGGAAAGTGAAGGTGTCTCCCATGCATAGGACTTCTGCCTCAGGGGTCATAAGAATCCAGCTGTGAGCTCTCCAAGTTAACCCCAAACTCCGGAAAAATTTTGGGAATATGCCTTGGACCACTGGCGAGTGTGACTCTGGAAGCAAGCACACAGGGAGCAAACAGGACTCTGGGGACTAGGAAGCGGGCTCAGAGACTTGAGTGAAATGATCTTAATGTCTAGTGGTTAATCAGGATAGAGAGAAGAAGCAGGTCAGTTCTCACCTCCCAAAGCCCTGCTTCCTCACTGCCAGGTACTCACCCAGGATGGGGGAAGGGTCTCTGGTGTTGGGGTTCCCTCTCCTAGGTAAGAGTTTCCTGGACAATAGGCAGATTCCTCCCCACCAGGGCCTGAACTCTCTACTCCTGTCCTAGCTCCATGGTCTCAGCTCAGCTCTCCCCACCTTGACTCACTCACTGTCCTCAGGGTACACCTGTTCTTCTGCACTATTGGCTTTTGTGCGTTTGTGCAAGCTGCTCTTCTTCGAGTCCCCTCTCCACAGCCCTGCCATTAGGTAAAACGATTTTTCAGCTCAGAGGATACTCAGCTTAGCTTCTCTCACTCCACATATTGAGGTCCCCTAATAATGGACTGCCTTGTGCACATTTGCCACACTGTAGTTGGCTCTGGAGAACAAAGGGTAAAGGAATAGTTACCAAAAATATGCTCGTTAAATAAAAGAATTTTTATTTGAAAGATCCCAGACAAGTGAGTGAGGAGCTGCAGACTTGGGTCTTGACTCTACTACTGCCAGTAAGTGTGCTGTAGCCCAACCTGTAAAACAGGGTTCATGCAGTATTCTTTGCTAGTCACCTGTGCCTGGAAACCACAAAAGCCCAGAAATCTGGCTGCCTTTCCAGAGTGTGTCTCCTGATGTATGGACGCCCTCTGGTGGCCACAAAGGGCTTAGGTTGGGGCAAAGGAAATAGGCAATAGACCTGAGTACTTGGGTCAATAAAATCATTGTTAGATCCTCCTGAAAGCACCACCCAGACAGCATCAGGGAGAACTGTAGGGTTGAGCACACAGTCTTAATAGGCAACCCTGAGTCCCTGCAGCTGTATTCCCTAACACCCTCTGTCCTGGCCTAACACCATTCACTCTCCCACGAGAGCTTTCTCAACTTCCTTCAGTTCCTGGCTCAGCAACCATTGGTGATGCAGCCTCTATTTAGAAAGTCTAAACTCTGTCCAGGTATGTTAAGGCTCAGTCTTTCCAGTATAGGCCCAAAAAACCCACACCTTTTTGCCAACTTGTTCCTCCTCCTCTTCCTTTTACTCTTCATGCTTTCTTGATCACACAGGTGTTTTACGACTCCAACCCCATCCTGTTTTTGCATGAACTGTTCCTCTTCCACCCATGGAAGTAAGAATCCTGACCTACCTACCTGGTACTGGGGGAAATTCAATGGGATGATTGAGGTACATAAGTCTGTATCCCATAAAACACTTCACACATATGACTCACCAGGACTCAGATTTCCCTCCCTCAAGGCCTCAACTATTTGAGACCTGCGGCTTCAGTTTTTCCTCCTCTTTTACCCCTAACATCAGAGTGCAGAGAACAGGGTGGACCATCATTAAATATCGTAGAATTTTTTGGCAATGAGAAAAGTGTAGGGCCCTGGCCCAAGGCTTACTGTTGTCTGCTCTGAGGAGTGTTGGAAACAGCAAATGACCCAAGATGGTGGACTAAGGCCCCTGGGATGCAAGCCCATTTCCAGAAAAGACACTAAAGCTGGAGTGATTTTTGTTTTTGTTGTTTGTTGTTTGTTTTCTATTGGTACGGGACTTGAATTCAGGAGTGTAAGCTCTATCCTTAGCATATTTTTGCTCAAGGCTAGCACTCTGCCACTTGAGCCACAGGTTTACTTCTGGCTTTTTGTTGTTTAAATGGAGATATGAGTCCCACAAACTTCTCTGCTGGGCTGGCTTCAAATCATGATTCTCAGATTTCAGCCTCCTGAGTAGCTAGGATTACAGGTGTGAGCCACTAGCACCCAGTTGCTGGGGTAGTTGGGTTTCTTTCTTTCTTTCTTTTGTCTTTTTTTTCTTTTAGGGCTGGAAAAATGTCAGCAGCAATTTATAGGCTGGTTGAGATTCATAGAAAGGGCTGGGAGAAAATCGCTGTGTTGCCTGCCACATAAAATGAGAACAGAAAAATTACTGGACAGTAAATTTCAAACACATGAGAAGGAATATTTCTTTGTGTTGTGCAAAGTCAGCGCAGCAGGGCAGGGGAGTTGGGCGCCTCCTGGGGATAAGTAACTGGGACTCGTTTTTCTTCCTTTCTTCCTTCTGAAAGAGCAGCATAGTTGGTCATCTGACCAATGACAAATGTGTGGGTGGCTAAGGAAAGGATGTTGGCTCCTAGTAGGGCACACTCTCCTCAGTTGGCTGTGGCTGTGCCTGAGAGAGATCATCCAGAAAGTTCTATGCAAAGAATCAACACATTGATCAACAACTCATTGATCAAATATTTGATAATCGATCAAAATGCCCTCAATTGGGCCTGATGGCTTCTAGTATGTTCTCTATCACTTACTAGCTATGTGGACTTGCAGAGTCTGGGCCTCTGCCTCATATCTGTAAAATCTACCTTACTTTCTTATCTTAATGCTTTGGCTGGTGATTTGTAAACAGCAAGTGTCTGTTTCCTCTGTAAGGACAATGATGCCTGATATTCAGGATGGGCCTTGGGTGCACATGACTTCCTGGGGGCTTATGGCTTAGTACTGGCTGCCTTGACTAGGTTAGAGGCTCAGAAGGTAGAATCAGCAGCAGGAGTACCTCCTATCCCTTCCATGTTAGGATTGGGGAACAGAAGCTAGCCAGGTTCTCCAGCTCATGACCTTTCAGGAGAGTGTGACAATTGTGTCAGATCATGTATGTGTGAGAAGTGCCAGGCACACAGGAGAGTGTGGGCATCTGAGAGTGCTTGATGCAGCTTCCACTTGCATTCAGTGCACAGTTCAGAGGACTTCTCCCTGGTTGGATGTGGTTCAGTACTTAGGGCAAACCCAAACAAAAGAGTCAGAATTATCACCAATGCCTTCAGCAGATAACAACAGAAGGTTCCAGAAACTCTCGAGCGGGGAAATTCCTGAGAATATGGGAAGCAAGCTTTCTTCTCTCTCTACTTGTCCCAGTGACTCTGGGATTCTTCTTATCCAGAGAGCTTCTTACGTTTTTTTAAGACATGATGGACATATCTTAAATGCCTCCAGTGACAAGGAGCTCAGCACCTGCTAATCAGTTTTCAGAGATTAAAAAAAAAAAAAAAAAGATCTGGAGTTGGAAGTGGGCTCAGGTAGCAGAACACCAGCCAATGAGCAAAAGCATCACATACTGAGTTTGAATTCAAGTCTTGAACAAAAAGGAAAAAAAATCATTATCTTAATCTCTCCCTTTACCATTTTAGTACCCCCAGGGTCTTGCTGCTGCCAGCCCCACCCCCAGTCTCAAACTCAATTGATGATAATATTGCAGACTAAGAGTTTAGAAAACAGGAAGTCATGTGTTCTCAGGAAGGCAGTGGCAGCAGCTATGGGAGTGTCTGTGTTGAGCAGGGTGCTAAATATGATGCCAACCCATTACCTATAGCATCAAGGACATTCACACCCTCCCCCTGAGGGGCTGCTGACTTTCCTTGAGCAGTAACTTTCACTGCAGCAGCAAAGATAGAGGCTGGACACACAGAGAAATGATAATCCCTAGTTGAGAATTTATTCTGTGCCTGCCTGGAACCACATGTGAGTTTTGCTCAAGCTTCCAGTGAGTCTTACTTTACAAATGGAGAAATCGAGACTCAGACTCAGAGAAGATATTACACTATAACCAGGCAGTTCCATAGTTTATATTTTTCCTTCCTTCCTTCCTTCCCTCCTTCCTTCCTCCCTCCCTCTTTCTAGACTCTTTCTTTCTTTCCTTCTTTTTCTTTCGTGGCACTAAACTCAGGACCTCCCACTTGCTAGGCAAGTGCTCTACCACCTGAGCCATACCTCCAATCCTTTTGCTTTTAGTTATTTCAGATAAGGTCTTGAACTTTACCTGAGCTGCCAAATGATCATGATCCTACTACCTCTGACTCTTGAGAAGCTAGGGCCGCAGGCATGTCTCACCATACCCGGCTATAGCTGAAGTTCTTAACTACCACTTAGTACTGTGCTTGAGGACTTGCTGGTCCTCAGGGCTGAGGAGGGGTTCCCAGGCTGTGGCATTCTCCATGGTGTCAGATTCTGTCAGGTGAGATCCTGGATACCTTCCTTCTTTCTTTGAGGCTAAGAGGCCTCAAGTAGTATGCACCTGCTGGCAGGAGGTGCATACTACTTGCTACCAAATGGAAGGTCAGGGCACCTGGGTCAAGGCCGACAGTAGCTGACCTACCTAGTGACACCCTTGTCACCTTAACCTGAGAGCAACTCTGAATAATCAACTGGTGCCATATAATACGTTCTTATCCCCTTTCTCAGTGTTGGGTTTCATACATTCATGTTGTAAAGTTGTCTGATCATGACTCACTAGCAATTATATGTTTTCTTTCATTCTCTTTCATTCTCTTTCTTTCTTTCTTTCTCCCTCCCTTCCTTCCTTCCTTCCTTCCTTTTTTGTCAGTCATGGAGCTTGAACTCTGGGCCTGGGCGCTGTTCCTCAGCTCTTCAGCTCAAGGCTGACCACAGAGCCACTTCTGGTTTTCTAGTGGTTTATTGGAGA